TCATGTTAACATATTGAATTAAAAGGTCAAAATTAAACTAAATTTCTTCATCCTTTTAGTTAAGATAAATCAAGTTTCAACATGGTTATTTATATTTCTTGATGCCCAGATGCAAAATAATGTCAAAATATGCATCAGGGTAGGCTTCTGAGTGACTGAATTCTTAAAACACTCATGTCTATGTCAAGTAGATTGCATTCTATTCCAGTTTTCTTTACAGTTTCACAAAACTTCCAGAGCAAGAATTAGCTTAGAATTACTCAACAGAAAATTTAGATTAACTCAGCCATCTGATTAACACTGTCTTCCCAGATCTCAATTTCTTATTAAAATATAAAGAATATTAATATAGAATTGTTAGCATAAAGTTACAAAGAAATAACAGCTTTTGTTTTCATGATGAAAAATGGAGGTAAAGAAGGAAGGACAGGAATCTACTATTTGTGGAATTCAGAGATTTGCAATAGTTGGCTCAAACAAATCTCCAGAGCCAGAAAGGTTCTGTGAAATAATTAAGGAAACAGTACTCCATAAATCATTTGGTTCAGCTTGTTTTGTGGTGAACTAACTTGTGCAGCTGTTCTTCTGAGGGCTACTCAATTGCCATTTCATTTGTTGAATTTTCTGGATGCTGAAGAAAAATGCCAGACATAGAGTGAATTCATTAGTAGTTTGGAAACTATATTTTTCTTTCTCATATAATACTGTCATAAATGAATATGAAATGGAAATAATTAGATTCTGTACTCCTATTCAGTAATGACAGATCTCCAAATAAGTAAACTACCCAATTAAACAGAGCTACACTATTCACATTGATATAGAAGATATATTTTGAATTTCCTTCAGATTTAAAATTTACCATAAGTAGCCCAAATTTAGTGTTTTGTCTTACGTTGGCCTGACACATTGATGTGCCTTACTTCACAGTCATCAACCCTGTGGCAGCTGAAAATGGGGCCAAAGCAAACTAGAAGGCTGTGCTTCAGTATCAGAGATGTCAGATGTTTCACTGTATTTTTACATTATCCTAGCTGAGAGATCAGGAGATGACTTCATTGTGTTTTCCAAGCACCCTTCAGTGTTCTATAATGCCATATGGCAACCATGCAATATACTTTGAATATTTTTGAACAATTGCATTTTATCTGTTACAGGATAAATGATGCATAACTGTATTTTGTATGAATATCCTAAATTGAGTTACTGTACCTCTGAAACGAATAAGTTTGATTATCTTTTATGCTTAATCAGGTGGTTTTGTTTATTCTTTTTAGTAGAAACAAGAGATTATAACTTTTGATCTTCTGTTCCTCAAAACCCTTAAGTTCTTTACAATGTAGTAAAAAAAAGATTTAGCCTAATATTTTCTATCTTCTATGCCTCAAAACTCTTTAATAGTAATGCTTCTTAAACACAGACAGTGTCCACTATTAATATTCATAAATGAGTAGCTGGGAGGGTTGCTATTTTAATGTATCTTTTGACACAAAAAAGTGCTAAAACTTGTATGCACTAACAAAACCTTTCTTCCTCCCATTTCCTCCCTCTTAGTAACAGCTCATGCTCTTACAGCTCCCTACATGCAAAGACATGGATTTCTTTTGATTGAACGCTAAAATTTTCAAATTAAAACCAACTGCTCTAGCAATACAAAATCGGTTTAATATTTTCAGTTTGCTCTTATACATTATATACATATCTGTGAACAAGGGAAGTGAGATACATCAGAATCTGTTTTGCAGCCTCTGTGGTCATTACTAATCCAAGTCCAGTAATCACTGTGTAACAGGCTAAATTGGCTTTTCTAAAAGCAGAGGGGTGGAACCTAAGATGACACGTTACAGCAGATGTGAAAGTTAAAAGTTTACAAATCTGATTACACCTGTTAAAATTTACAAACGACACAGGAAAATACCTTAGGGTATCACAAATGTGCTAATGTGAGTTTATTTAGGAAAAGTAGAGATTAATATTTTTGTCACCTACTTAACGTTTTGTCAGGACAATTAGGAGATGAAGGAAGCTGTTCGCTTGATTTTCACCTTGTTAACAAAACGCCGTTTATACTCCTTCACTCCACAGGAGTTTTGGAAAATCAGACTTATCATCACCACAATACAGCTTCCTCATAGACACTACTGTAATCTATTTCCATAACGTTCCTGTTAAGATGAAGCATTATCACTTTCATGTACTTTTATGTAGCAAAATGAATAATCGTGTTCCCAGAACTAGGCTAAAAAATGTAAAGGAAAGCGGGAATGATGTTAATTTTACATAAGCAGGAAACAAAATATAAAAAATATTGAGTATTTGATGATCAAAGGAGAACCATTTATTTTATGAAGGAGGGGGTCAGTGAAAAAAAGTATCATGTTTCATAATACTTACACACAAAGTTAATTTCAGTCAAAAGGCATTATAGTGGCAGTGAACTTGTAACAGTTTCTCTGACAATCATTAGAAAATGTGAATTTACCAGTAAGTGCAATATTCAGACATATTTTTCTTTGAGCAGAACACAGGCGGGTTTCCTGTCAAAGCAGTTCTGCTTCCTATTGGTAAATGGGTGTAACTCATTTAAGTTCACCAGACTCTTCAATCTGAGGAACCTTAGCCAAGATGACTGTCCAGTCCCACACTGAAGGATTGGCAAGATTATAGCTCTGCAGTGGACTGACCAAGATAAATATGTTAGGTTTAAGAAAAAAGAAATACGAGGCTACCTGGACAGTTGGCTACAGTACACCAAGCTCTGGCCAAAGTGAATGCCCAAGGCCATTAGCCAAAGGAGAAAGCTGGCCAAGAGCTGACAGCTGACAGCTCTTCAGTTCTACCAGTTGAGGCCCCAGGATCAATGGCTGCTACATCAGCAGCTCCAAGGCCCCATTTAAGATAATTCTTGGGCTTTAGAAGTCATGTAGAAAATCTGTGTATGAGATAGAAAGGTTGCATAAACAGCTAGCCAAAAGTCTACAAACCCACAGACTTCATACAATTAATTTCTTACCTTTTAATTTCATTTGTTTCTTACTAATTCCAGCCTTAGATTTATGTGTCAAAAAATTTCCTACTTCCTTCTGTCATACCAGCTATCATTCTTAGGCTCTTCAGTTGTCTTTATCATTCACTACAAAACAAAATGGGTTCAGTGCCTTATACACAGCTTGGTTTCCCTCCTGGAATTATTGTCCTTTTTGTCTCACCAATCTGATTTCATTATGAGATTAAGTTTCCCTTGTAAATTTAGCAGGTTGAAGTTGAAGGTTAATAACTTTCCTGAGTTCTGCCGATTTGTAAGAAATGGACTGCGGCAGCATTTCACACCCTTCTGCTCAAGCTCTGGAAGTGAATAAGAAACCCGTATATGGGCATCAGGTAACAGTAAGAGAGTCTGCAAAGAGTAGATGTTAATTATCTCTGGCAGGAGGAGAAATAGCTAAATGCTACTCGGTTCAATTTTCTAGTACCCCCTGCAGGTTAATACAAAGGAGTAGCACTTGGCTTCAAAGTGAATGGCATATATATCCTGCCTAATTAAAATGAAAATAAGACCAAAGGTCTTTTATGTTGTTATTAATATTTAATAAAATATTTCCAGGCTTCTGTGTGAAGAGAATACCAAAGGGAGTTCTTACTGTATTTCACCCATCTCCTCAATTTCAGGAAAAGATAGTATCTTTTGCACAATACCATATTACCTACCATTATTGTTGGGATTATACTTAATAGTCTTCCTTGTTTTCAGTTTCCTCACATTCATATCAAGTTATCCAGTCTACTCACACTCCTCTGGTCAAAGAGATAGCATTGATGGTTCATTTAATTTAGCTACTTCAAGTGCAAACTAATCTTCCTAAGATAAATTCAGGATTCAAAAATAAACATGGAATTTTGTGAATTACCTGAATTATAGTATTACAGTTTTCATTTCTTATTGCATTGTCTAATAATCTTGCACTTTCTACTATTGTGCAATCAGTTTTCATTTCACACCCATATTAATTTCCTTTGTATGAAACAATATGGTAAGCAGATTTTTGCAGATGCAATTTTTCTTAAATCAAGTGCTAAAAAAGTTAAAATCCATCAAAAAGTTAACACTTAAAATAAAGAATCTTAGTGATATAATGCATTTATATTTTTATTTCAGGCAGTGCTGGTAGTATAACCTTTATTATTATCATATAAATTTTTCCAATACAAAATGTTATTTTTATTTGAGCATAATTTCTCAAGGTTTTTTAAAAGCTCTTTCCTTTATAAGTATTATAAACAGCCCAGCAATCATATTAAGTTCATATTGCTAGACTGGTCACAGGTTATTGTTTTCCTAATTCAGACAAGAAAATTTAACTGTGCCTAAGAATGAAACTCATAGGAAAATGTGACTTGCTCAAAAAAGAAAGGAGAGTAAAAAAAAGGAAAGGAAAAAAGAAGGGAGGGGAAGAGAGGGGAAGAAAAAGAAAGGCTTGTTTTGAGGCATTCTAACATTTTTACATTGGAATACAGAGTTAAATTTGGCTTGACTTTGGTAGCACCGACATTTGCAATTGACGCAACATATTTGGGGAACTTTAAGTCTTCAAAACATTCTCATTATGAACTGCACCAGTATATATTCCCATGAAATGAAAGAATATATAGAATAAATCATGAAGAGCTGGCTTAAAACTTTACAAGCTATATTGTACAGTTTTGACTCCAGCCTCTCAATACAAGGAAAAGAATGCTCAGGCCTGGACAGAAACAAATAAATGTCTTTGGGAAGTGGCAGACAAATAAATAGTATGTCAAGACTCAACTTTTTTGCTTCAGTCTTCAGTGGCAGCCTCTCCTGCCATACCTATGAAGTGGACAGACCACAAGACAGGGACTGGAGGACCAAAGTTCCACCATGTAAAAGATTGGGTTTATGACCACCTGAGGAATTTGAACATACATGTAAGTCTGTGGGACCTTATGAAATACAATATCCTGCGGCAATTGCCTGATGAGACCCTGAGATGGGATCAGTTGGTCAGAGCCTGGTGCTAGTAAAACCAAGATTGTGGGTTCAATCCTCACATGGGCCATTGACTTAAGAGTTGATCTTGATGATCCTACTCAGAGTATTCTGTAATTCTCTAATTCTGTAGTTGCCAAACCACACCGCATGATATTTGAAAAGTCATGTCATTCAGGCGAAGTCCCAGGTGGATGGGAAAAGGAGAAACAATATATCTGAATCAACAGCTTCACTTCTATACATGAGAAAGTCATGGAATGGATCCTTCTGAAAGCTCTGAAGTATACGTGGGACAGGTAGGTGATTTGAGACAGCCAGTACAGCTTCATCAAAGGCAAGTCCTGCTTGACCAAGTGGCCTTGAATGATGGAATTGCTTGGACAGCCACATCCCGAGGAAGCTAACAGTTCAATGTCTAGATGGACATCAGTGACAAGTGATGTCCCTCATAAAATCTGTATTGAGACCAGCGTTGTTTATTTGTGAAAACCCAGGGACCTGTCCTTAGGACCATAACACCTTAATAAAGGAAATGCAGAAACAGGCAAGGAGAAACACACCTCTAAGATCACGGTGAGAAGTGCCTCCTGCCCATAGGCCTTTGCAGGCCCTTGGTAATGCTGGAGTTTGATTGGTCTGCACAGTTGTTCCACCCCCATTCAGGTTATTTGTATCCATCCCAGAATGTTCTCCCCTCTCCTGATCCCCTCTGGCTATGTTTTGCTGCAGTGCTCCACCCCTGTCACCCCACTGGTTCCCCTGGTTGGCTGCCCCTCCTCTGCACCACTTTTTCCTCTTCCTATTGGACCTTGATCCTCAGACCCACCTCTTTTGTCCCATATTTAACCCTGTGCCCTCAACCCAGTTTCATCTTTGTCACTGGACCTTCTTTGAGACTCAGTAAACTTTCCCTTGGATTTGCATACAGAGACCCATCCTTCGCCTCTTTCATCAGGCAATTTTCTTTTTAGCAAGCCTGCTCCGGGCTCCAAAAGCGCAGATCACGCTCAGAGAGACCCACTGAAGCGTACTGGTTCATTTATTATCCTCAGCAATGACACAAACATAAGGATAGAGTGCACCCTCAGCAAATATGCAGATGACACTGAGCTGAGTGGTGCTGTTGACACACCTGAAGGATGGGATGCCATCCAGAGGGACCTGAACAAGCTCAAGAACTGGACCTATGGGAATCTCACAAAGCTTACAAGACCAAGTGCAAGGTGCTGCAACTGGGCTATGGAGACCCATGGTATCATCACAGGCTGGGGGTGAACAGATGGAGGGCAGCCCTGTGAGAAGGACTTGGGGGTGCTGGTGGGTGAGAAGCTGGACATGACCCAGTCATGAACACTCCCTACCACTGAAGGTGTCCAAAGCCAGGCTGGATGAAGCTTTGAGTTCCCTGTTTTAGTGGAGGTGTCTTTGCAAGCTTTACAAGAAATCTCATGTCCTCCTCTGAATATCTTAAGGCGCTCAGAGAGAGATAATATCCACTCAACCTATTCTTTGTGTTTTTTCTTCCCTGCAGAGCAGTTCTCTATCACATATCCACTGCTGTTTCATGCAATAATTTGACTTCTTCAGAGAAGAAACTGAACCACACAGCAACCTCTCTTCATCACACGCAGCACTGCAATCAGAATCAGTGTCATAGACATTTTTCTGTCAAACAACTCAACTCATATATACTTATTTCATCAAACAATTTTAATTGTTTCAGATAGAAGAATTTAAAATGGAGTGAATAATAACTATCTTTAATTTATTAAATTTAAACAGGACATTAGTGAACTTGTGTACTTTCCAAAATCAATTTTGGAACACCTGTGCCATTGAAACATTAGAAAATCTACTTTGTTTTCTAACTGCATGTGCCTGTCTTTCCAAATTTAGAAAATCACAGCTGCAACAAATATATATACACATTACGTACATACACATACTTGAGTCACTTTGAGATAGCATTACTGATTAGGTTTGTATAGAGGTCCTTCTGGCTTTCTGAAACTCTTTGTGCCAAGAGGAAATTATAATTTTTATTGACATTCATAAACAAACCATGTTTAAATCAAATTAGTGAACACGACACAGAGAAATGTAACATCATGTTTGCGCTTGTTAAGAGCTAATATGCTCTGCATTTGCAAAGTGCATCAGGTTTGACATGAGATGTTGGAGATGCACAGCTCTACACCTCCAGGAACTCAGTTGGTACCTTATATTCAAAACAATCACTTGCCTTAGCAATTTGTTGAATTGAAGCTTTACAACTTTTCACCGTCAACAGCACCACAGTGAAACTAATGAACTGCTTCAAAATGTAAACATTTTAGAACACAAAAACCATACAAGTTCTCAAATGTAAAATGATGAAATTTCAACTAGAAAACTAAAAATATGGCAACAAATCCTGAATAAAATGAGCAATTCCTTTTCCCTCCTGAGCAGTGCCTCAGAGAGTTTCCTCAAAAACCTTACTTAAGAAAGGTTCACTCTTCACCACATAAGAGAGTTGTGCCCATCAAAATGTTTCACTTTCATTTCTGAAGCTGAGATATAGCAATATGCTTCAAAGTTTTGCTCTCTCAGTTAAGACAAAAATAACACATGCTAACGTCATACTTAAATATATCATGTCCCTAGTACAATCTTGACATATATTTATGTAAAAAGCCCATGTACCTATTGGTATGATAACCTTTCATGCTTGCATTCTGTATGTGTCACAGAATTTATCAGCACTGGGGGCTTTCCAGTTATTTTATTATTAAAGTGAATGGAAACGGAAACTTAAAAGGGCAAGCTCGACATAACTGTGGGCATAGTGATGCATACGTTAACAGGAGATACTAAATATCTTCTAGAACAAGCTATACAAAGTGCATTTTCCTATTCAGTACAATCTGCAGCAACACAGTCTGATGATAAAATGTCATCCATCTGCATGCTTCTCTAAATGCTCCAATACCCTCCTGCATGTCAAACACCTTCTCTTCAAGCTTTTAGCTTCTGTTGACACTTCATTAGCGAACATTTTGAAAATCCCCTTGATTTGAAATATATGCATTTTGAAACACAAAGTCTCTGAAAGGCTTTTAGCAGTTCCCTCTTGGTTTTGTATATGAAGTTTATCTTGCATCTTTTAAGTCTAGTTTTTGTACACTCAAATAACAAAAAAGCCCTCAAATGGCAATTGAATGAGCACTGGGAGCCTTCCCAGTTTCCTAAAAATTCATATACTGATGACAGGGCTAACTAAGGAACTTTTTAAGGCCTCCAAAATCCATTCCTCTGCAAAGCCTTGGCATACAATTATTAGGCTGAGACATCGAATTCATTCAAATTCCCTACAGCAGAGCTGTACAGAGCTTACAGACTCTACTATGAATTTAAAAAGCATGTAGACTTTAGAAGGAAAAGATCTTTGTTCAAGCAGGTAGGACACCTAAACATATAAAGGTGGGCATTAGCTCTCATCAGAAAAAAAAAAAAGGGAAAAAAAACCCCAACCCATATATATATGTAAACCCCCTGTGAACCAGCCTTCTTTGACTGTCTGCTACATTTCAATTCAATTCTGATTAGGATTTCATTATTTTTACTTGCATCAGCCTTGCATGTCATTGCTCATCTCAGAGCTCAGTGAAGTTGTACAGGAGTGCTCCCCTAACAGCACAGTGTAGGTCAGGATGCTCACGCTACACAGCTGAGACCCTGTCTGCACCGATGTTCAGGCCAGGAATTGTGAGAATCCAGAACCCAGAGTTATGCAAAGAAGTCTAAAATTTTGATGCATCTGGTCCAGTACCAGTTTTCAACTTTCTGATAAACTTGCTGCAGTTTTTTCAATGCCACAGATAATTTCTGAAATTCTAATTTTAATTCTAACACATCATTACTTTCCCCACAATCATTTAAGATTTTTAAGAGACACAGTGCACATATTCATCTACTGCTTACATAAAAGTAGTTCCTGTAGAAAATCAACAACTGAAAGGGTATTTTAGATAGCTGTATATTATTTGCATTTTCTATCTGTCCAAGATTTTTCTTCTGGTCATTAACTATCCTTGCTGTAGTGCATTGTATATGTCTGAATAAAACTTCTAAAACAATTCTTGTAACTCACAGATGAAAATTAAATGAAAAAGGACAGCTTTTCAAAAGTGACAGGACACTGTCACTGACACTGTAAAAGTATACAAACACCAATTGGAATTCCATAGCGGCAGATGTCAGTATTTTATCATTCATTTACCTCCTAATTCAGGGACTTCCAATTCAGAAGTCCCTGACCAGGTGACTGAACAGTAATATTTTGGTCACCAGTTTCTTTCTTATTTCATCTCTAAAATTAACTTTCCAGAAAGAGATTTTTGTGGTACTTAAAAAAAGCTAGTAGAAGAGACTTTTGACCTGCATACAAGTAATTACATCTTAAGTTTAACCAGAAGCTGAAGAATGAAACAGCATACTGAAATTCTTCCTTTGCTCCTGTTACATGTCAAATGCAATTTTCTACAATAGTTATACTTGTGACTGTATTTTGTTTCTTTATCACTGAAAGAACATCAGGAAGGGGTTTTGATAACTAGTCTATCATACCTGTGCTTAAAGTAGATTACAGAAAGAACACGTAATTTAAAAGCTTTCAAATATATATCTGCTTCTTTATTAAAAAATATAATATTTTTCAATTTGGGCTGATTATGAGGGTAAGGTTAACTGTTATAACATTAATTACTTGAACTGTGAATACAGTACAAAAGTTGTTTCATTTATTCACTTATTTCTACAGACTTCCTAACATGTAGCACCATTCAACAGGTTACTAAAACCATCACATTCTGAACCACAAGTGAGTCATCATACACGTTCCATCCCTGAGGATCAAAGCTAAAATTTTACTTTGTTCAACATGAAGTCATCAGAATTTAAACCTCATTTTAATTCACCAAATAAAGCTTGAAACTGTCACTGAACATCCTACATGTCTGTAAACTATTAAATCGAGCCATTTGGAAACAACGGTCTGTGCCTTCTAAACTGCTTTACACCAACAGA